CTTTTCCGTCCCACTCTCTGACACCAATTTGTTGCATATCTGCTTGTTTGTTAATTTCCGGTAGAAATTCTTTCAGAGGAACTTCAGCGATACAATTCCTTTTTTGATTAAACCAATTTATTCTTTCTCGATACAAACTTTTAGCATGCAGTAATTGCACAACGAATAAGTTTCTCGTCACTTTAAACTTAACTTCTTTTATAATACACGCTATAAATCACAGCAATTCACAAGCTCGAAATAGAATCGTAAATTACCCGGAACTCTCTTCATTCAATCCCGCAGGCTTTCTCTGCTAGGCTTATATACTAAAAAAAGAGGGCGTCTCGAACACACGCGGGCCTTCCTGATGATTTATAATCATTCGAGAAATTCATCACGTGTCACCAGCGTCACGCGACTTCCGCTGTCGTAACAGTATGTATTTGAAGCATAAATGTTTTCGAACATTTACAATTTATTTTGCGTTTATAAAAAAAAAAAATGAATTCTGTATAATTTAGAATTTACTTCTTTTGTAATCAAAAACAGTTCCTTAAATCATAATGTTTACACTTTATTAAAAGGTATTTTTCAGTTTCGGGGAATATAACGCTTATTAGCTAATTTAGTATCGTTTTGTGTAAAGGAGAATTTACCTAAAAGAGGACATGGATGTGACTAAATGAAAGGAACTACATAACAAGCAGCCTATATACTTACCGATATTTTTCAAAAATGCTTTTGTTTACTTAACACACAACATTCTAATGGCGTCAAAATGTAACACTTCACAACCTGTAGTAATAATAACCTACTTTTATTTACAGGGGTCAATTGACAGCCGGCGGCAGGGGGATGGAAACATGATTCAAGAGCGAGCGGAAGTACACCACCACTACGACCATGCAGCGTGAGAACCCCGACTGTAAACAGGCACGTGAGTTTCTGAAGGGCCATGACGGATCTTGAGTGTTTGTAAGAAATATGTTTTAAAGCTCCGCAACAGCTGGACTGTTCGTACTTTATTTGATGTTCGTTTTTTAGATGTACGTGCGTATGAGTGTTATAGGTTGGTATTAGAGCAAGTAACGTGTATTTTTACACTCTCTCCAGACTATTATCTCTAGGGATGAGCTACCATAGCAACGTCTAGTTTGTTTAGTTAATTCGAATGATTACGTCATTCATACTGCTGAAACAATTACATACAGCTGACATTTAACTAGCTGAAATTTCTAGCAGTCATAACTGGCGCATTCCTATTGCTACAGAACTGTTATTTGTGTCATACCCGTGTTATATACCTATTATCTAAGTATAAACTTAATTAGTTTTGAAACTAAAATGTACTTACTCAAATATCTCATTTATCTTGCTCTAGACTAGAGTTTCCTTAAAACAGTTTTTAAATTTCTTTTAGTGCTAGGTAATATTATTACATTAACAACATATTACATGGAATAAATAAAAAGCTGGAAGACGAAAAGTAGCCAAAGAAGACAGACGTGTGCAGTTCAAGATTAGCAAGATTGAAATATTTTATCCATATTGTCTCATTCATTGTTCTAATTAACTAGAAACAAATATACAAAGTCTAGATAATAATACAATGTAGGTGATTCCAACAATATTTACACGAAAACTCAATGACAACTAACCAGTAAGAACATGAAGAAAATGTATCTGTATCCAGTCATTCTATTACAGTAGTTACAGCATTGAATGACCTGTTGTGTGACTGATACTTCTGTCTATATTAGACATCAAAGATAAATTTCGAAAATATTTTCCAGTATGTTTACAGCATGGTTTCCAAACCGCGTTGACGCCTAGTCTTACCATCTGTGCAGAAATGGTATAACTATCTCGTACATATATTGTTATCAACTGTCTTCCATAATACCATTGACTGATGACGTCATTCTCCATGCAGATGTCATACAATGACGCAAGTTTAAGGTTGCTCATTCTTATGATCAAACATGTTTAATTCTTCAAAGATCCGTATTTTTCTTCACTTTGATATTAAACTGTTCGAAGTGTCCTTAGGAGTCAACTTTGAGCAGGTTTCTAGTGCTGTTCAATGTCTTGTGTTGTTACAGTTGTTAAGCACAATTATGGGCTGGTCTAGAAACTAAATGTTGTAATGTGTTATAAGTATCATTCCGTCAAAAAATCAAGATAATGATTTAAAAATGAGTGAGTTAACCAGATAATTCATTAGTCGTCTTGTAAAATGAAATACGTGCTAGTTCACAAAGACAAGCAAGACTGATTAGCTTAGAGATTATTGTATTGGAAGTGAATGTTGATAACATTGTTATTTGTTGCTTCTTCTCTCAAACCTAATTGTCTGTTGCAGTTTCAAAGTGTAAAAAAGAACATTATCAGCGCATAATTTTGATAAATATTTTAAAAATAACAATTTAACCTTATAATAACATGATAATTTTTTAATTAAGAATTAATAACTCACTGTGGTGGAGGAACCGTGTATAATCTGATCGTAGCTTCGTTATAAAGCTGTGAAATACATTTGTTTTTGACAGTTATTATAAACGGTGTGCGCGCTAGCCTAGCCATTAATATCCAAGAAGAAACAAGTAATGAAACCGTTACATATAAAGAAATTTGGGCATTTTTATTGTTGATGGTTTCTTAAAATAAACCCCATAATTGGCTTACGATATAGTTGTTATTGTTGTATTATAACTTCGTGTACATGTAAAGATATTCTGGTTTAGAAGAAAATTTATAAACGGTCTTTAAACAAATCCCAAAATTGGCCTAAGATATAGTTGCTGTTGTGTTATAACTTCGTGTACATGTAAAGATATTCTGGTCTAGAAGAAAATTTATAAAGTCTTAAAACAAACCCCAAAATGGGCTTAAGATATCTTTGTTGTTGTTGTGTTATAACTTCGTGTACATGTAAAGATATTCTGGTTTAGAAGAAAATTTATAAAGTCTTAAAATAAACCCCAAAATTGGCTTAAGATATCGTTGTTGTGTTATAATTTCATGTACATGCAAAGATATTCTGGTCTAGAAGAAAATTTATAAAGTCTTAAAACAAACTCCAAAATTGGCTTAAGATATCGTTGTTGTTGTGTTATAACTTCGTGTACATGTATAGATATTCTGGTTTAGAAGAAAATTTATAAAGTCTTAAAATAAACCCCAAAATTGGCTTAAGATATCGTTGTTGTTATTGTGTTATAATTTCGTGTACATGTAAAGATATTCTGGTCTAGAAGAAAATGTATAGTCTTAAAACAAACCCCAAAATTGGCTTAAGATATCGTTGTTGTTGTGTTATAATTAATCCGGAAAAGTTTCTAAATTACTGCGGCAACTTACATGAGGGTGGGGGAAAGTAATACCCTCCAATAAAATTCATTATTTGACAATATACACAACCTTGTTTTATGGAATTTCCAGAATGTTTCTTGTGTTTATTTTGTTATACAGTTGCATATGTTTCAGCTTTTGAAGTAAAGGACCAAATGTATTATATACCACTTGCATTTTGTATGTTTAATTAGTTTTGTATTAGCTTTAATAGTGGTGACTCATAGAAGTTACGGGCAATATGCCAGTGTTATCCGTGATCAAATCGTCACGAACACGCATCTAAATGTTGCTGTTATTTCATATCCTAAAGCTTATAACCAGTAAAAGCTGAAGACACAAGAGTAAATTAACTTCGGTATTACAGTGATTTTCAATCTAGCCTTAAGCGTACTTCTAAACTGTATTACAACGTGATTATTATCATCAGTCCGCATTATGTTGTTACGTTATTTTCTCCATTATATTCACATATACTGAAAGAAACATATCCAAAATGGTTTTATAACAGTGACATGTGGTTAATTTCCAACATGATATATTGTTTTCGATCGATAACTACGAAGACGTCTTCTTGTAGTGATGTATTGGAAATGCTCTGTTTGAGCTCTGTCCCTAATCTAGTTTACTATTTTTTGTTATCATGACAACCGTAAACATGGGTGTGTTCTAACACTGTCCGTGCACCAATAGTGCGCTGCGAAGTAAGCACGTGTTATAGCTAGGTAATGCACATGACAAGACGATCGATAAAAACTGCACGACTGGTCCATATATATTGTTGATGATTTAATGAACATTTTTCAACGACGATTTCAAGATATCCCGCCCATTGTCCTTATTATGTTTCCAAATATAACTATTTTATAACCACATTTTCGTTATCTCATGTATTTTTCTCTTAATGTAAATATAACATAGATAATATAGCATGGACATTTATATTAGGGTTAGGATCACAGTATAATATATCACGTATTTGATCAATAACCAAAATAATATTTTAAATTTTAGCGTTTCTATATGAACTTCAGGCCATAGTAATTTTTGAAAATAATGGTTTTATTGTAATATCTTGATTGATGTCAGTTTGATATAGAATTTGGTTAGGAAATCCAGTACTGAAGTACTACTGATTTGTAAGTAGTAACTGTTTAAAGACGAATATCCAGAAGGTATATAGCATTATATATAAATATCTGTGAAAGGTCCTGCACACAAAAAGTATATTTGATTCAATGTTAACACATCTTTTTTTCTGTTTATTTCAAAATGCATTGTCTGTCACCATGGGCGTCCGCAGAAAGGCAAGAGAGGCAATTGCCCTCACTGGGAAATGAGAAACACAAGTCTTTTTTTACTCATTCACCAACCATATGTATATGAATTTTTTATTCAATTCACAATTTTACACTAATTTGCCCCCCCCCCCCCTCGGGAAAAAGTTCTGCGAACGTCCATGACTGTCACAGAATACAAATAGCAACTATAATCAAGTTAAGCCTAAATATATAATGGTGCTGTGAATTCTCAATTGTAAAAATTAAGTTCTGTTTTGTGTTTATGTGTTGTTGTTTTTTCATAGATTAATTCCTTGATGTAAGATAGATAACATTACCCATAATCTGTATATAACTTACTAAGATTGAGCAGTATGTTCATTCTGAATTTTAGCGTTCATGTTTTTGATGTTACAAGTTCAAGTTCGTTTCTGTTCTATGTAATTGTATTAGTTATATCTATGTACCTTTGTCAGTGTTCATCTAATACATTGTGTGTGGTCGAATGATTTTTCACTCTCGGCCAGCTTTCTTTTATGTAACTTTTTTGACATTCAGATTAAAACCCAACAAAAACTCCTGTTTGTTGAATGTTACTTCGTTCTGAAAATGTACATATGTGATCCATCTCATTCTGAGATTTTGTGTATGGAGTAACAGCGGTAATTATAAACTTAAAAAGCCAGAAATATGTACTGCAGAGAGATTAGTTACTCCACTGTCATGCGCATAAGACTGGTGAAATATCTCGGCTGATCGCTCTTGCGAGGTTTCGAGGGTATAATGTCAGGGGACATTTACTACATGTTTTTGTTTATTAAAACATTGATAAAGTTTGTTACAATAAGACAATCCAAACAGAATATGATGAAGAACAGTTAGTGGTGCGGGCTTTTAAATCAAAATTGAGTAGTAGAACTGTTATGGCTAAAGACGGCTTGACGTCGAAGTCATTAGGCTTTATAAATGTTGGTAACATGTTTTTATTTTCCTAACACTTTCTTACTTGACTAGATATAATCAATTTGTATGAATATCAGGGAAGGCTAATAACACAGGCAGTGCATGATGTAAATATTTAACGGTTTAACCTAAGTATTATGAAATGTTAACTAGTTGTTTGTTTTCAACTCGTTCTACAAAATATCTGAAAACTTGGAGTCAAGATATTCTGCGTGATCTCTAGCAATTGATAATTTCTCCGTAGTAAACATGCCTAAGAAGGTATAAACATAGAACTTAAACATAAAATAACCACATCGAGGTCTTTGCAAATGACTGTTAAATATTAACTATGGCATATTTTTACCTCTTTAATGGAGCATTTTAATGACAAATAAACATTGAAAAAAAACAAAAAAAAACGATTCAATTGTGAACTTTATTTCTGGTTTAGTTATCATGATAAAATTGAGTGAACAACGCCATTACACAGTTTTATGGTAGCAACACTCCTCACTGATTATAATTAAAAATAAAATTTTTAACTGCTTGAAAAACGTGATGTTGTGGAACATTTCTGTGTGCGCTATTAGAAATGAAATAATTCATAAGAAATATATATTTTTATATATGCATAAAAAATTAACCTTACGCAAACTTTATTATTTTCTTCGATCATTTTTTAAACTTGTAGATAAGTTATGTTTTAAATTTAACCCCATTATATGTCTAATTGTCCCTCCTAGTTAAGAAAGGCTGGAGCCGAGACTATTTCCCCCTCCCCCTATTACAAGAAGTGTTCTTTCCAGCCCACTGGCTAATATAGTGGAGTTTATTAGCTTGTGTTTCAGGATTATCTGAAGTTCTCCACGTTTGAACAATAAACATTTATATCTTAGTTTGGCTGAAGGATATGGAACGGAGAAAATCGAAGAGAAGGGGCACAACACTTTTTCTTTTAAGAACAATGTGATGTTGTTTAAACTGAAACAGTAGCTGAGACAAGATGGCACCTTTCAACGCTTTGGCAATTTGCCAGTCGTTGCCTTAAGCTACAGACATTGGAGAAACGTTCGTTCAAGTTACTGACAAAAGAAAACAACTTTCTTTTCATGATCGTGAAAAATAACAGTTCTGAACTAATACTGTTACAAGTTTCTTTTACATCGTTCAGGACAATAATTGTTACAGCTTGTACGTATCGTACTTATTTAATTCCTGCAACGCTTTAATAAAATTTCGCTAGTTTCGTACTTTCTTAGCATAAATCTTTTTCTTAGATTTTTATATAAGAAAGTCCTTATTAATACATATACGGCTGAACTCGAAAATCACCCATAACTATTTTTCTGTGTAAATAATGTGCCTAGTAATTGGATAAGCAAAAACTGTTTAATGATACATCAAAACCAGGGGCAGTTCATCGGAAAACTGGAGTGATTATTTAATTTCATTAATGCACTCAACGTTTCGCTTTACAGTTACTGTCATTTACAGTTCGTGTTTTAGTGGAATGCTCCTGAAGAAGCTGTAAAGCGAAACGTTGAATGTCCAATAAAAGAAAAACAACAGTTTGATGTTATAAGGTCGTTTATTTCTAGTATTAAAACTGGAGTGATCATTTGTCTTGGTTTTAGCGCAAAGCTACACAGTGGTTTATCTGCACTTTGTTTACCACGAGGAACCGAGCCTCGGATTTTAGCGTTGTAAGTCCAGAAATACTTCATTCACGATTCAACTTGCTCATAATTTTATATGTAGCACGTGTGTAAATGATTTAAAGTATAACTTTCCATGTTATATTTGAGTTGGCTTCACCAGCTTTTTCTGCACAAAGTTTGAAATTACGAAACTGATTTCGGCACAGAGTTAGAGCTTGTCTCAGTTAATAATCATTTTCTGTTAACTGGTATAGTCTCTTTCATTAACACGAAAAAAAAACTCTAATTTTAGAAAATAGAAAAGAAAATTACAACATCAATGAATTCACTTTTGTTAAAACTGAACAATGTATTTTAGCAAAAAATAAAACAATCTGAAAATTCAAGAAAAAACTCGGCCTTAGTCATTAAAATGATCTTTGTAAATAAGGTTGTTTATGCTTTTGTTTAAACTCAGAAATATCTGACGGTAGTTTCACCCAAGTCGGCTATCTTTATTTTGCCAGAGTAAGGTACCACTTTAACTAAGTTCTCCACTACTTGTTTAGACCTGAACGTATAACCTTCATGACTTCCAGACGTGTGTTTGTGGTAACATTACACGACAGTATGGGTCTCACAAAACTGACTGCACGTAGAATTATATATATATCAAGAAGCCTAACCCAACACATCTTATAAACACACAATTGAAATATTAACTCAGCATATTACCGCGTTGTAAGATTGTAATGTTATAAAAGCATTTGATATTAAACATTATTGGGAGTATTATGTTTATTAACAAATAGGTACACCATTAACTATTATCACAGATGTTTATTGAAAGTGTATACTCTAAAAAGACCTAATATAATACGATTCAACTGTTGGAAACTGACAAATCCGTTCTTACTGTAGAGTTTGATTCTCGCCTTTATATATAAAAACTTTTTTTGTTAATCTGAACGTGAACCGTTTGAAACCGACAAGGAAAATTTTCAGAAATTAATAGTAAACATAGACACTAAGCTTTGTTAAACGTTCTTTTTAAATACAAACGAACCCTTTCTGTGACAGACTTTCAACTGTGAGAAAAGCCTTGAAGTCTGCAATGAATGACAAGACAAATATTCCGTAGTGTATATATTTAACATGCAAAGGTACGAGGTTTTCAGAAGCATCATACTGTGATATTTATCAGTCATTATTATACTTGATTTAGTAACGGCAAGGATTTGGTAAATAATTTGTATTCTTTGTTTTCTTTTGTCCTATAATTTCTACTTTAAAAATATTTTTTCTAACATGTTTCTTTGTATTATCACCTTTGAACTACAAAAATACTTTTTTTTTCCTTTTGCTATTAAACAAGGTCAAAGAAGTCTAACAGGCTACGTTTTCTGATGATATTTCTTTGGGTCAGTTAGTGCCTTCACAAAAAAATCCTGTCTCTGAGTCATTATTCTTCTGGCGTCCCTTTAATCGGTCATTTAAACAACCGAACAGCTGGCACGCACATGCAGCTGTCGCTGTATTTGTGGTACATCTTTGTTAACTACAAACTTGTGGCGGCATCTTTGGGCAAATATTGGAAAAACATAAATCCGATGTTATATTTTATTTTTGTTTTATTTAAAATATCAATTACAATACGAACATGAAATAACTGTTGAAATGAAAAATAATTAACAAAATTTTACCCAATGTATTTACAGTTAATAATTAAAAGCATTTGTAAATCACACACACAACGCCAAACATCAGCATGTGCACGTGCCGACCGCCATCTGGCACGTGGAGTGGAACAAACGTCTTTACATTGTGAAAGCGTAACCACATCTGCCACAGTGATTAAAAAGAAAACATCTGTCCGTCTCAGATAGCTTGTGGGGTTTAGTTAGAACAGGTGCTCGAACATCATAGGGATCTTCCAAAAATATAGAAAATATAATTACTTTATTAATTATATGATATTGAATTGTCGCCCTCAAACCTTGTATACAGGTGATTCTATCATTTTATTTTGTTCATACCAGTTTTTTTTTATTAATGAACTAATGATATTATTTCCTATAAGCCAAGTTACTCAGTCAAATTTTTATTTATTTAGAGCAAATGTATAAATAAATACTCTGAGTCGTTTAAGTGTTGGTGCTGACAGGTCTTGTTAACGCGAACGTCACTGTAAATGTTCACGTGTGTTCCTGTCTTATTTTCAAATCAATGGTTTCTATGGTTACTGTGTAATGACCCTCACTTATGAACTCGCGTCACGAGTGATGAGAACCAATAGACGAGCATATTCTTTGGAGTAATTTAAGACGGTTGTCAACAGTAACTTTCAGTTCTGTGTACGTAAAATGGAGGTGTTGTTCGAGTTTAATCCACATACATATATCGCTAATTATAAACACTTAAATTTAAAAGTTAAATAACACTTGGCTAATTATTAAAAAGGAAAAACAACAGATATTCTGAATTTATGTAAGGAATCATCTGCTATTGCAAATTATTTTTAGCAAATAAATTATTAATAGTCAAATTATAATACAATAAATTATTAATAGTCAAACTACAATATAATAAATTATTAATAGTCAAGCTACAATATAATAAATTATTAATAGTCAAACTACAATATAATAAATTATTAATAGTCAAATTATAATACAATAAATTATTAATAGTCAAACTACAATATAATAAATTATTAATAGTCAAATTACAATATAATAAATTATTAATAGTCAAATTACAATACAATAAATTATTGATAGTCAAACTACAATAAAATAAATTATTAATAGTCAAATTACAATACAGTAAATTATTAATAATCAAATTACAATGCAATAAATTTTTGATAGTCAAACTACAATACAATAAATTATTGATAGTCAAACTACGATACAATAAATTATTAATAGTCAAACTACAATACAATATATTATTAATAGTCAAACTACAATACAATATATTTACTCAATAACTTGTC